TAGTTCAAAGTTCATTTGGATAATATTAAAATAAGTGCATTCGTTGGTATATGGGGTAATTTAATGGCACCTTAAACATCACACGGTGTAATTTGGGTAGCCTAGCTGATGGTCACCTACAAAAGTCTCACGGTACAAAATATTAATCAATGGGGAGTGGATGCTTGCTGCCTGTCCGATCTCAGAATGTCCGACTCAAGCGCCCGAAAAATAGAAAATCACAGGAGTCACCTCCCACCTTAACCAGTATCACAAAGGACCACGCGACTGTTCTGGTAAACACCGCGCGGCTATTGCTTCACGGAACAAGCAAACGGTGCATTAGTGGCATGGAAACCAGTGAAACCTTACCGTTTAGCTGATCACATGGTCCCAGTTCCAAGTGAAACCTGCCACATAATAGCAGTTGCAAGACGTGGTGTCGTTCAAGGCATGCACTCATTTGAACAGACAGCTAGAGCACTGTTTCAAGAAAAAACAAAAGAAGTCCCAGGAACAGGATAGTGCCAGACCGATAACATCTGACCATTTCACCTCCTCAAATGGAGACAAGTTGGCATAGGTATTTTAAGTAGTGCACCTCATATACTCCTTGTCCCAGCATTTTTTTCCACGGAAACGGTGATTATAGGGTGTTTTAGGGTGGAGAAATGCGACAGATGCTAAAGCAAATTTGCAGACTTAAGTTGAAAGTGAAACAAATGTAGTTGAATTTGTTTCCCGTGACACTGAGAGTAGGCAGTTGCGTAAGTACATTGAAGGTATGCGGGGTGCTTCTTGCCACCGACTGTACTAATCTTATTCCAGAACACTACGTTGGACCTCGGGAAAGTTGAAGTAGATGACGTCCCAAACACCATTTCTATTTTTTCAGGAATTTCAAGAAACATGCATTTTGATCGTCGGGTTTTCCCGCAATACGTTAAAAGATAATACAGATAAGAAAATCTACAACTATATATCAACAAAATTTCTAAATATAATATATAAAATGCCTGTAGCATTTACTAAGGTATATTACACTGCCTTTCCTATTCCCCTACTCATAAAACC